TGACTAATAGCAAATGCTAAGCTAAGTAAAGTAAATGCCATTTACTTGCTCCCTTCAAAAACTTGTATCAGCTACTAAGGTCTCTCAAAGTACAGATTTATTTAATGAGAACTGACTTTCTGCAGCTTTGTTTCATCTCCAGAGTCTTACTACTTGTGCTTGGACAAAGTGAGAAGTGTTCTTATTTCTCTGTGTCACAGGGGAATTTTCTCTTTTGGAAACTGTTTTCTCACTGTTCTGCTCTTAAATTAATGATGCTGTGAGACTGTTGGAGTTGGAGAGACAAAAATAAGCATGAAAATAGGTATCTCTCTAAAGGGAAGGTGTGCCTTGCTTCTGTTCTTTAGGACAGGACACCTGTAGGAAATGCAATTACTGGGCCTTTTGGTATCAGGAGAAAATCCATTTTTGAAAAGTATCATAACAGACCAATTGATACAAGTAGTATTATTACTTGGTAGGGGACCACCACAATCACTCCCCTCTCCAGATTTCTTCCTTTTGACTTCCATTCTTGAAAAAGTGCAGGAGGATTTCCCATAACTTAATAGGCAAAATTATTTTGCAGCACAGAATTTCTGTATAATTGAGTTTTAGAAAAAATAGGAGAATGTATTGAATAAAAAATAACCAAGGAATGTCAATTATTGAAGCTAAATATCTGAAATGTGCTCTTGGTTGGTGAACTGAGTAGGTTTTGGTGGATTTAAAAGAATTTTGTGCACCTAAAGTAGAGAAGTAATGTAAGCTGTCAGGAAATTTCCTTGTGAAGCCACATGGTTGCACCTCCAGAAGTCCATCTTGGAAACAAGTCACTGTACTTCCAAATTAGGTAGGCATGTGTTTATGTAAATTAATACTGCTCTGGTGAAAGAGCGAACACTCAAAAGCCATGCTAGAAATGTGGAGTAGCAAATAATTCTCCAGTTGCAAAGACCCTTCCATTCATGTCTGTGGCTTTTTGCAAGAAGCCACAAAGTAGCTGTCAGTTTCTCTTCATTGCTATGTGTATTTTTAGAAATGAAGTACTAGACCATAGATTTAGAAGAAATTTGTGTTCAGGATGTGTGTGGCATAGAGGACATATTTTCATTATGGAGTAAACTAGTAGGGAAAAATCCCTGGAAATTATTTAATCCCATTAAGAAGAAGTCTTGTGAAATCTCTTTGCACTTTTAAAAGGAATGAACGAAGCAAACACAAGAAACAGCAGGATGGGGGAGTGGAGAGCAACAGAACATAGCTAAATGATAACTGCTGAAGGATGAGAGTGCTCAGAACAGTATGGAGGGAGGCTGGCATGGCCAGAATGCTGACAAGGAGCAGGTCACTAAAGCAGTTTGGGATGCTCCTGCTGTGTTGGTAGGCTCACAAATTTGATCTCAGCAATATGTGAAATGCTGGAGGGATTTCAGTAGTATTAATCAAGGAAAACTTATTCCTTTCTAAAAAAGAGGTCTGGGTGGGGAGACAGGGATTTGCTTCTGTTTTCTCTAATGCTATCCTGTAACCGACTTCAAAGAGGAGCAAAGGCACCTCAGGTATGCCGTGAAGGAGGAGGCTCTGTAAACAGCATGAAGCCATTGCACCCTGTTAGTCAACAGGGTCAAAGTAGTAGCAAGAGTTAATGCAGCATTGGGCTAAGACAACTCTGCATTGTGCATTTAATGCTACATAGGGGCTAATACTATATAAAGTGAGTTGGGAATACTTCCAGTATTAACCTTGATGTACATTTAATGAATCATCAGCAAAAGCTCCTCCTCTCCACGGCTGCTTTATTTTCCTTTGTGGACCTGATGGCCTGTTGCAGCCAGACATGCTGCTGTTGTCTTTCTAAGAGCAAGTCACAGTAATGGCAAGAAGCTTGGCAGGCATCTTGGTTTGGAAGACAGGTGTCTGGTAGGGAGGGCAGGAGCCTCCCTTGGAATGAAAATGTAAACCCCCTCCCTCCAAACTAGTATAATTTTGAAATCAAGGGGCTCTCAGGCAGAGATCTGGGGATAGGAATAACAGTTCTTTACTAGTGTGTATAACACACAAAACAATAACTACAGCATTAACAAGAAAACAGAACCAGGGACCCTGTGAGAGCCTTCTCGGCCGAGATGGGAAGGGATGGAGGAGAGGCTTTGTTTCACAACCCCCTCGGGTGGGCAGTGCCGGTGCTCCTGCAGGGCTCTGAGGAGCACTCGGCTGGAACAGCAGGGATGAGCTGAGATCCTGGGCTGGTGGCTGAGGTGGATCAGCAGAGGGATGAGCTGAGATCCTGGGCTGGTGGCTGAGGTGGATCAGCAGCTCCACGGCGGTGGCTGGCACCGCCACATGTCCCGGCAGGACAGGGGGTGTGAGGCACACAGACAAGAAAGAAGAAGCAGCAGCAGCTCCGTCTGGGTGATGGCAAATTCCCTTCTCCCAGCCACAACAGCTCTGAGAGAGTGTCTCCTCTCCAGCCCAAGAAAACCAGCCAGTCTCCAGCTGCCCCCGTCCTCCCCGCCGGGCCCAGCCAAATGCCCTGTGTTTCTCAAGCACTCAGCTAGTACCATCAATCAGGTTTCCCCACAGCTAATGGGCAAAAAAATTCCACAGGTGAGAAGGAACAAAAGGAAGGACACCCAACACCCAACAGCATGGGAGCACAACTCTGAGCCTATTAAAAGTAGTGTCAGTTTGAAGCTACCTGCTTAAAAATAACATGGCATCTGCTGTTGTAGCAGCTGGTTAATAAGCAATTACTTTCAACTTCAAAAAAAACCAACCAAAAAAAAACCCCAAAAAACCCCCCAAAAATGCAAAACCAGAATGACAGCTGCTATTTCTGAAATTAAACACAGCAGTAATCTATCAGCCTAACACTTATCTGTGGTATCATTTCTCACCCTTCTCACACCTCGTTTTAGAACAATGTAAATGTATTCGCTAGTAGAAGGTGCAAGAGGGTCTTTGGCCATTTCCTGTACAGATACAGGAGCTGATAGTGTGAAGAATCGTCTAGAATCTGTGAAGGCTATAGCCAACTGCTGTGCTCTGCAGCTGATAGAACAGCTCCAGATCTTCTCTATGAAGGTATATTACTCTCATAGTACAAAAATCAAGCTTTCACATAGGTATCAAATCCAAATTTCTTGTCTAATGCTTTGTCAAGCAGAAAGAATTTGAATACATGCAGCATAAGGACAAAGACTGCTTTATAGATCGTTCAGTGCACTGGGCTGGCATTTTTGCAAGTTGGCATTTGCATACCTTGCCCCATTTTCTTCTTGTGTTCGTAAGTAAACCTGTTTTTGCAGATATCTGCAAAACGGTTGCATAACCCTTTTATTTTCCTACTATGACTGTACACCCTTTTTCAATTTCCAAAGATGTTTATATGGAAAAAACTTCATTGCAGCAAGGTATTTTGACTGCCTTCAGGAAAATTCAGTAGGAATAGGGAAAGAGCAAAGAACAGACATTATCAAATCATTAGCCAACTCTTCAGGCTACCCGAATATGCTCCTTGGACCTTCCTCTGCTCCATTGGGCACTTTGTAGTGTTCTGGTCTTCTGTCGGTAAACCCAGAAGTAGTATCACACGAAGTCCATTAAGACACCTTTTGTTAAAAGAACTTTGTGTGACAGGTAATTCTTGAAGTGGCTAAAGTGTATTTTCCCTAGTGGTGAATTTGAGGCCTGCAGAAATATGCAGTGCCCACTAATTTGAAGGGGAAAAAATATTTTTTGGTTTAGGCTTCTTCAGAGTCTTGATTCTGACCTCGCTATTAAAGAAAACTGTTTATGGATAGCGTTGATGTTTTTGATGCTCCATTTATAGCTGAAAATGTCAGCATGCCAAAATTATGATGTAATTTACTCTGAGAAACATTCCCCAAATGTTTAACTTTGGAAAGTATCACCTCTGCATCTACAGGGTCTTCTCTGTGCCTATATTTACATTGTAAATGTACTACTTTCTCAGAGTTAGCCATATGGCTTTTGAAGTTGGCAGTGGAGGGTTTTACCAAGAGTTTGGTGTACTGCCTTTATGCCTGGTGCCTGTGTCTTGGTTTCTACATTTCTCAAAGTTGTCAGCTAAGATTTTGTTCTTGACCTGAAGTTTCTAGGTGTCTCTGAGAAGATACACTTAAAATACTAAGTATAATTTCCAAATGTATTGTTTTCTCTGTGAACGCAGTAACTATGGTGCTTTTTTGGTGGCATGATTAAGTTTCAGAATAAATTACGTTTACAGAGTGTGTTCAGAGAAACTAGAGAGCTAGACAGCTGTAGACAGTCAGATCCTAGACAGAAAGAAGAAGAAACAAACGCAGGGTCTTGGAGTATATTAGATGAGAAAGTAATATCTGCGAAACAGAGATAATACATCAAAAACATAGATGTACACAACAAAAGCAAGCCTGAGGGGAGGAAAAAGCCACAGGAACTTCAAATACCCACCAGTGTGGTAGCATGGTTAATATGCAGCTGAAAAGGGTAAGAAACAGAGCTCAGTGAAATACACCAGTGACAGCCAGGAAATGCAATCATTACATCAAATTAGTTCTGACGTTTAGCTACAGCTGCAATGCTATGCTGGAAGTTGTTAATACTAAAGGTGACTGGAATTGAGAATGTAGTTAAAAAACCTGTCAGCTCTATCTATAGTAAATGTAAACTATTTTGTGTAAGGCTTACCCGTAGTTCATGCAGGAGTAGAATACTGGTTTGACTTCCACTGGGATCTTTTTAAGCCTTAAGTGGCTCTACTATTACCAGGACCTACCTTTAGTGTGAAAATACTCATTTGACATATTGGTACAAATGGAACAATATGATAGTGTCATATATAGAGTGCAAAATGATCAAACTCTGCCTTGGCAGTCTTAGCAGTATAGCTATAGCACCTAGAACAGCTGTGATTATCTCAATAAAATTTCAATCAAATCTTTGATAAGACCCAACACAATTTTACTGCTTCTGTGCTTTCTGCATTTTGTAACTTCTTTTTATTTTTCTTTCAGCTTTATCTTCAGGCAAGAATGAAAGGAGACTGGGCAAGGCTTGTACGTCCTACCATACAATTTGGTCTCATTGCTGCATCTATCTATGTGGGTCTCTCACGTGTTTCTGACTACAAGCATCACTGGAGTGATGTTTTAACAGGACTTATCCAGGGTGCAGTGGTAGCTGTGCTCATTGTAAGTAATTCCTGAGGGGGTGGGTATGAGTGAATGCTGCTTTTATGAACAGCACTTCAAACCTGTATTTCTAATGCTTCAAAAATTCCTGAAGCAGGGAAGCAACTCCTCGAATTGGGTGTAGCAATAGTACTTTGAGGAGTGAGGTAGGCTCTGGCCCAATGAATTAAGTGGTAGTTTTAGCCATTGGACAGTATGGAATTGTCTCTGCTCAAGAGCTTTTCAAATAACTAAGATGGAAATGGTAACTGCAAACCACGTAGGCCTCTCTAGTTAAATAATACTTTTTGCTTCTAGCCAAATTCCAAATCTCAAGTACAATGGCAGAGAACTCTGTATAAATTAAGATTAGGGCAATAGGCCTTAAAAAATAAGAATATCAAAGTGTCTGCCTTTGCTACCTTACAGTGTGTTTTTTCAGTCTGATGGGAAACTAAAACTCTTCACGACTTCTTGTGTGCATTCCTGCAACTAAAAATGTGTTCCCAATGAGGGACCTGTGAAGCTTAGCTATACTGATGAGTATATAAAGCTATGCCAGGAAACAGACACTTGGCTAAACTTGTCACAGCAGGCCCAGTTGACTCAGTGACAATAGTTGTACTAGTGGCACCAGAGTGCCATGGCTAATTCATCCACGGGAAGGGATAGATCAGGACTTCTGGATCAATGGGAGCAAACGGAGGCCATACTGAAGGATTCAGTTATCAAGAACTGAGGCTTAGCTGGAGAGAACCACCTCCAAAATAAATGCTTTGTCAGCTTTCTCAGGTCAGAAGGCTATGGCTCAAGACAAACCTGTAGAGTAGTTGCAATCAATAACCAAAACAAATTTTGGAGCAGCTCTGGGGAAATCATATAGGCTGCATTAGCTGTTACTAAATGGCTACATGCGGACATAATCCTACCACTCATTTTTGTTCAATCCCTCTTTCGAAGAAAAGTAGTTCAGAGAGTAAGAAACATCAGAGATCAAAGAGGTGAGGACACTTTTATTAGGAAAACCAGTTTAGTCAATGATGTTAGATGAATCAGAAGGTTCTTTGTAATACAAGAAAGAATAGAAAGTAGTATTACAGTGAGTAGAGTTGAAAGTTCAGGAAATTATTTTTAAAAATATACACTAGCACCAACACCACCCCCAGCCTCTTATCTGAAAGAACTGATGAATTCCTCTTCAAAAACAGCAAACAGAGGTTTGAGTACAGTGGTGTAGCAACTGCAAATGGATCAGTAAATTGAACTGAGGAATCAGGCATTAAGTGGAAGCTGAAACTCCCCTGGTCTGTGGCTAAAGCAGTGTGTTGGATCATCAGCCAGCTGCCAGTGTGGTGGAAGATTGTTTCTTCTGCCATGGACAGTGTTCCGCAGTTCTTAGGGTTGCAGTGGGAGGGGAAGACACAATATAGGAAGGGAAGGGATTGTGAGAGGCTTCTCATTTATTGCACTCCATGCAGCACTGTGCCCAGCACATCTGTGATGGGACTTGGTGAAATGCACAGTGGAAGACAGCATGCTGCAGAATTGAATCAACCACCTATCTTGTTGTGAGGGAGATGTCCCCTAGCTGTGAAGTAAGGTGGTATGTTTAAAGGACTGCAGGAAAGGACTATATAGATAGAGCTGGCCTTACAGCTGCTGGGTCCAGCCAAAGCACCACCTCTCCTGTTCTGTTTTACCTAAATTACAGAAAAAAATTAAACTAAACTTGCATTGTGAGTACTCAAAAAGCACATTTTGCTCCTTCGTTTAGAGCTGTTCGAACTATGGCTTGTAATGAAGCAGTGCCTGGTAAGGCAGTCAGCAGTCAGTTAGCACAAGCCTTGAATTTGGCTTAAACCATCAGTGGCTAAATGGTCAATGGCAAGCTGAAAAAGCAATTGAAAAAACAGTTGTCTGAATTTTGTACAAGACTTCCCTGCCATTTTTAATGTTTTAAACTGATTAAGCTTTTTGTTGGTTTTGATAATAAAATTTACCTGCTGCAGTGCCCTTGTTTCAAAGACTTATGAGTGCAGGACTAATTTAACTGATTAACACTAATTTGTTCACTTAGGTTGTATATGTGTCAGACTTCTTCAAAGTGAGAGGATGTACATTTCAACCAAAAGAAGATTCCCATACAACCCTACATGAGACTCCAACAAATGGAAATCACTTTGGCAGCAATCATCAACCATGAAGAATGACCTATATCACCTACATTGCTCTGAAAGAAAACAATTTCACAAGTCTAACTCTGTAATATAAGTAATCACCTTTAAGGGACTGCTGCTGCTCTTGGATGCTCACCGTACCTGTATATAGTGACATCTATCACAGTTATTGTACATCTAAACTTTAAATTTCTGTTGGTTCAAGCTTTTGCTTAAAAAGAAAGCTATTACAATTGTAAATTTTTATTGAAAACTGTAACAAGTTATATTACATACACTGCTATTTGTACATGCCTTGTTGAATCAACTGTGGTTTAAGTAAACACCGTTAAAAGGAATTACTTGATATGGAAGCCACATGTGACACTGATGAATTTGTTCCATCATGTCAGTATAGTTCTGGAAGACATCTGCTGTTACAGATAAAGGCTTGCAGCAAACACAATATCTCTCTTGATTTTTGTAATCCCTAATAAGAAGGAAAAGAAAAATAATCTAAGATTCTTAACTGACACAAACACTGTTTAAAGTACAGTTGTAAGCATATCACAAGTATTAAATGGAAGTCATTGTACATCCATTTTTAGCCAACCTTTAAGTCAAACTTTGTAATAAAGATGTTATCCAGAAAGATAGCAGCAATGGTGCCGTTTACTATGAAGTCAACATGAGAAGTTCACATTACAAAACTATTTACCTTCATCCCTCACTACCTGTGCAGCCCTTTTCCCCGCCATTTTTTCTTCTAAAATTGCTTCATGTACCATGAAATACATACCCTCTGCAAACTTATTTTCCAGTTCTGTGTTCCCAATGGCTTTTGCAGCCTGGCACATCTGCCGAAGCAGTTCTTCTAGACGCCTCATGCACCGAATTATGCTACCTGTATGAAAGAGCAAGGGAAAACTTTGTGCCACATCATGTAACTGGTCCTGAATTATACTAAGTAATAGTTCCTTCTACAACCCTGTTCAATTTATCTAGAAGCCAAATGTCTTAAACTTAGTTTCTGTTTGCACAGTAAATTTCTCTGTGAAGCGTTTCCTTGAAGCTGTTTCCAAATGCTTGTCCTTTCTACTGTCTTTACAGTCTCTAACTAGTATCTAATCACACTACCTTCTGGGCTGTTGAGTAATTCCTAACCAATTTTTTTCTTTCAAGTACTTGTTAAGACTTCCTCAAAAACCACAGAGCATTAGGAGATTCACAACTTTGCTGCTTCCCAAACTAGCTCAGGTTTGTTTTGGAATATTTTTATAAGCCTTAGTTCTTTAGTTGGCAAAGGCAGTAAAACAGTAAGCGATCTATCTTACTGCTCCTGTGCCACTCAAGAGTCCATGGCCCATTCTGCTAGTCCATGCATGGTTACAATAATGCACAAAAGCACATTGCCACAGCTCCTGCACTGCAACCCAACACCCACTTTTGACTTATTATGCATTTATCTCCTCTTTGAACTTTTCTCACAGCTCAGCCCAAGTCACTGTGACAAATTTCACAAAACAACCCTAAATGCTTCTGCTCTTCTGGCCACAAGCGAACAGTATCCTAATTGGTCATTTCCTCCAGCAGCATCTCCGACAGTCAAAATTACTGTAGGCAAAATAACTTGTTACTGGGTAAATACGGGATGAAGGGCTTGAGAGCAGCCCTGCTGAGAGGGACTTGGGGGTGCTGCTGGATGACAGGCTCTATATGACCTATCAACGTGCACCTGCACCCCAGAAAGCCAATTACATCCAAAGCAGTGTGGCCAGCAGGGCAAGAGAGGTGATTCTGCCCCTCTGCTCTCATGAGACCCCACCTGCAGTGCTGCGTCCAGCTCTGGGGTCCCCAGCACAGGAAGGACATGGACCTGTTGGAGCGAGTCCAGAGGAGGGCCACCAAGAGGACAGGCTGAGAGAGTTGGGGTTGTTCAGCCTAGAGAAGAGAAGGCTCCAGGGAGACCTTATTGTGACCTTTCAATACATGGAAACATTCAAGGTCAGGTTGGATGGGGCTCTGAGCAACCAAATTTAGGGGTTTATGTCCCTGCTCACTGAAGGGGGTTTGGTTTATACAACCTTTATATTACCCCCTTAAGGCATAATATGTGAAAAAAAAAATCAGTATGAAAAGAGCATTGCTCAAAGCTTTTGGGAAAGAGAGACATGATAAAGTAATGCTTCTCTTCTAAAAAGCGTTCATAGGGCCTCACTAGGCCATGTCAGTTTCTATAGTGAGAACCGTTTGTATAAGAGCAGTGGTCTGTAAAACCTGTTGCAATGACATGAGATGGAAAAACCCACACATAGCCTGTTGAGCACAGAGCACACACCAACACAAGTGACCTGTGGGCAGCTGCCCCGAGCACGGCTGTGCTGCACTGTGGCAGGCCCTGGCTCAGCTGTCAAAGATCCTGCTCGTCTCCATATACAAGGCCGACCCCGACAGCCATTCCAGGGAGTACTCCTTTACAGGCAGCGTAGCTGGGCTTGTTGCAGACACAGTTTTTTGTGCAAGAAAAATAAAACTGCGATTTTTAAATTAATTACTATTAATATTGTTTATACTTCCATAAAGCAGGAGTTGATCTGCAGTTAACAGATACAATACTTAACTCAGTTTAGTGTTCTTTCCTAACAGCTTTAAAAAGCTGCTCTTATTTTTATTTCTTCCCAATACACACATTTCAGCTTAAAGACAGGGTATTCTCATTAGCAAATCAATGCTACTCCACTTTTTGGCAAACACACTTATTCTTGGAACACTCAGGCTTATTTTGTATTCCAATTTTCTTTGAAATCACTAGTTACTTGGATAACCAAGGTAAACTACTCTGGGATTTAGGAACACCACAATCCATTTAAGGTACACATAGCCAACAATGGATGCCTGAAGGATTCCATTCCTTTTGGATAAAGCACAAAAAACCAGCGTACTGAAAGTCAAGGGAAGAATCATGCATTGACCCCTGTTGAAAGAGCTGACCTACCTTAGGCCACTAAGATCTAATTTTGAGGGAGCTGGCACTATTGAGTAGAATAAAGCTGACTGTCTTAGTACAAATATGGTAAATGGAAAATGTTACTGCCCAGTGTATTCTGAACATTCAAGTGTCAATGTTAAACAAGCCAGCTGCTTTAGTGTTCCACATACTCAGGGTGCTTCCACAGCAAATGGAAGGCTCAGATACTGCAGAAGCAAAGACTGCCAGGATTTGTGTTGCTCAAAAGCAACTTTCTTTAGGAAGTTCTTGGGTCTGTGCATTGGAATACATGCACATATTATGTGCAAGAATTCCCTTGTTATAAAGGAATCTATAAACCTTTCCAAAGAAGAAAACAGCATTTGAGAGAGACAGCAGTGACAGTAATAACTTCAAAAAGGAAGACTTCTAAGATGGGTGCATCCATCCTATTCTTCACAACTTCCAACAGGCTGGTTTTTCATTCTGGTTTGATCTTTTCATTCTTGACAACCCTTTGCATGGTTTGTTTTTACAAAATACCAGGGCTGTAAATCATCATACTTTTAAAAAGTGAAAACGAAGTATTCTTCCTCAAGGGGCAGTTTCTAGTAGTCCAATTTTAGGAACCAAATTAATCCACTTGACATATTATATCTAGGCTTTTCAACTATCTCCATTGCACTGCTGTGCAAAACTATTCAAAAGAGAGACTTGGTTACCACTTCTCACTTCTGTCATCATTAAGTCAGCAGGAGGAATTGGTTATACCAAATAAATAAAAAACTTAACTACAATGAGGACAAGTGCAAGAGCTGTACTTCCTGATGACAAGCATTTGGAACATGTTTTTCTTCCCTTTAACTAGAAAAAGTAAGCATTACCTTTTGTTGTAATGCTTAGAATTTCTGAGTTTTATAGAAAGTTTTTAGAATACAGAGATATCCCTTTAATCTTAGATTCTAAATTATCAAAAGTGTGTAAGTATAAATTAATATATAGTAACCAATTTTTCCCCGCTTTATTTTAGCCATACAGATGCTTGAATGCATCCGAGTCTGCTATAAGGTTATTCGGTATTACCATTCCCTGTTGTAGAATAACCAACTCATACCTTCCAAAGAGCAACTGATTAGCCTACCTTCAAAGACATCAGTCATTTTGCAGATGTGTGCAAAGTTAGCTCCATTTGCCCATGTATACACAACATCCATTAGGTTGGGTTTGAAAGAATTCAAGTAATTTTCTTCATCAGTTTCCAGTTTTGCTTCTGCTGACACCTTGGCGATTCTTTTTGCACACTCCTTTAAAATAAAATATTTCATATTTATAAAATGCTTAACCAGAGTAAGTATTTAACTGGCAAAAAGGCATGCACATTATTAGGTACTGCATTACAGGATGAGGTTTCCTTTTTAAAGTGAAATTACTCAGAATCAGAAAGGAAACCACTGCTTACATGAAGTCTGCCTGCACTAACAATCTACAGTGTAGCAAGCAAGCTTATAAAATTTTAGAAGCATGTCCTAAATTAGCATAAAGATTTCTTGCAGACCATATAATGTATTATTACACATTGCAAAATCAGATGCAGTGACAGATGAATTCACTGACGATCCAAAATTAAGTCTTTACTGTGCACTTATTAAAAGTTACTCATGAGCTTTGCCCACATTATCATTAACCCTAAGCTCAGACAGATTTCTAATTACCTGCATTTGCCGAAGTGGTCCTGCCAACTGCTCAGTCAACTTTGGCATTTCACTGGACTGAGAAAGAAGACATTAAACAATGTCAATCTCAGTCTCCCATACATCTTCTCTATACCAAATTAGATGCAAAAACAGAAGTTCAATGTGTGATACTGCCACCCTAAATTATTCCAACAGCTTCTCAAACCTGTTACCAAACACTAAAGTTACTTAATTCCCCCAATGTTTGTTCCTCAAACTAAATCAGAAAACAAAATCTTTCTGTATAGTGTATCAACATTATGAAAAGCAGCACCTGCTTTCTGGATACTGCCAGAATTCCCTCTATTTAGCTGTATCATAGTTTTGATCTGACAAATGAACTGCCATTAATTACTTTGACAGTTACAAGGTTATCTTTATGAATACAATTTTTTTTTTAAATAACTTCAGCATCAGTGGCAATATATGAAAACATGGCTTCTCAAAATACAGGGACATTGTTATGTTCCAGATCTTTAAACTCAATTACTATTGTTGAGTGAAGCCTAGTATTCTAATTAACAATGGCTTACCTCAGTTTCCCTTCTACTTACAAATGGAATATATCAGAACCTGCTCCTAATGTTTTTTTCATTTAGAAAAAAAACCTAATTTTATTTCAATTTCAAATCAATCTGACTGATATATACCACTAGTTACTTGCAGAAATATTTCATATGGAAGTTTACTTCATATGGCAGTTGTACTAATATTCTGGGGTGACATTAACCTTGTATACAGCTTGCAGGTAGGAAAACAGTAACATCTTACATTAAATGCCCATGCTTTTGCCTTTAAAAAGTAAGGTCTGATTTTAACAGCCTTTTTGATATCAATTCCATGTGGTACTGCCATTTCAGTCAATGGTCAAGGAGTACGTGCTGACCATGCAACATAACGCAGACAGGTCTAAGGATTAGATATATGCTCACCCCGGAGTGTAGGGTGCAGTTAC